ATTATACAATTTTTATAAGTATGTAAAGATATAAAAAACACAAAGGTTTTTGCAAGTAAACTGTTTTTTGGGGGGTACCAAACTAAATATATACATATACTTTGTTCTAACAAAATATGGGCTAAGAACGGCCCAATATATACTTGCTTGGAAATAAAATGATGCTGTTTGGTTTCACGTTAAAACATTACGTAAGAATGACGCGTGTCTGTTCAAATTGTGACAAAACCACGTCACAAAGTCAAGGCAAAACAGAAAAAAAGTAATTTTCATAACCAACTTGCAATCTCTTCATTATAGACAACAACAAAGTCCATTGCATCACTGCTTGATGGTGTAATTATCCTTCCACTGAGCACTGGCATTCATGGGTTATTTCCTTTATTTTTGACATTAGAACAGCTTTGGAATCTTTAGGTTTAAATGGGAGCTCGTAGAAAGTACAGATTTCCTTAAGCATGAAAACAGTAAAATATTTCAATTTTTCCTTCTTGACGTAGTCACACAAGTCATAAATTTCATAGACAATCGGATGCGTTAAGCCAATTTTTGTTACAACTGATTCGACGGTGGTCATGTGACTCGCTTCTTCCTCGTCAATTGATTCCTCGTCAGATTTATCGTCAACCGCGGTGCTCGGCGATGGACCTGCCCGTCTCCTTCTCGAGGAGGACAAACGGGAGAAAAAACCTTATATTTGGGCTTTAGTTAGCCACTCTTCCCGGGAAAATAGGCGTTCCCCTTTTTCCCCCTTCGCTTTCCTCATATCTTGCGAGACTTGTCCTGGATCCTCTTTCCTTTCAGATTGTTCACCAATTTCAAACTTGAAGGTGAGGTACTGCCTTACTTTCTCTGAAAAGCGAACAGCGCCACCTTTTGGCTTGTGAAGTGCCCATCCTTCACTTAAACTCGCCTGGGAAGGTTCGTTACCCTGTCTCTTGATAACACTGGTACTGTCGTCTTCTGAAAGGGTAAGGGATAAGAATTTTTCAACCCAGCCTCGTTTTAGTTTGTCGTACCCAATCTCTGTATGTTGTCCAACAGATCTGTGCAGCTCTATTTCTTCGACAGATTTGATATCCAGGCACATGCTGGTTCTGGGCATTCCAACACTAGCCTCAATTCACTGCTGCTTTCTGCATCACCCCAGTCATGCGCGCTTCCGTGCGTTACTCTCGGAGTGAAGCCAAAATTCTCCTGTTCTGTTATGAGATCGGTGGTGCCTTGATGCTTCATGTAAATTTCATCCCACGGAATGAGTTTGCCAGGGCCAACTTGGAATGCCTTCCACACTCTGAGCCCATCTTGTTGATGTGAAAAGTCGTGCATGGCACTGAATTGCTGGAATTTCTTGATATCTAAATCTTTCTTGGTTTCACTTACGTGGCATACAGCTGCGGTACATCCTTGAACTGGCCTTTCTTTGAGCGCCGTGTGCATATCACTGGCAGTGAGAAAGTCGTGGCCCTCGTTACAGTATCTCCTTATGGTACCTTTCAAAGGAAATAGGATTCTGTCGCATACGTCTTTTCAGACTGTGGCTCAGAAAAGTCGTATCTCGGAAGTGACACACCTACACGCTCTCCAACATCACGGGCGGCAACAATAAGCTGGCTATTGTAATAACAACCGGCTTCATCTGATTTTAGATAAGCCTTCTTTACCTTTGGAATTGAGGAGCGAACGGTGATTAGGAGACTCTCCAAGATGGACAGCACAGAGAACCAATCTTGTGAACAACTGTTGAATACGTGGTTGTAGAAGGAAACGAAAAAAATTCCCCTTTCCATCACTCGTGATAGCACAGCTAACGTGCCAGTTCATTCCCCTCTTAGCATACCAATCGCACTGCTTTTCACGAAATCGCTCTGTAAGAACTTCATTGCCCAATCCATTACTATAAACACTGAATATTCTGTTAGGTTTTGTATGAAGCTTTGTTTTGCGATCTCTTGGCTTTCGAATTGGAGAATATGGCATTTCCATTCGTTGATGAAGTTGACGGACTTTCCAAAGTCATAAAGAAGATCATCATGTTGTTCTTTGGAGTACATCGAAGAGCAAAGCTCATTGATTTTTCCCTCCACGGATTGAAGAACAGTCTTAGTTTCTTGCAACTGTCACACTTTGATAAAAGGTCGTGCAAGCACTGGTGTTTGAAGTCTTCATCAAAGGGATCACTACGAGCGAACTTCCTGCAGTGGTCTGCACAACGGCTGTCTTCGTCGCGACAATGAACGCGATACTCAGTTTTTAGGCAGCACTTCGCCTTCATAAGGCGGTTCCTAACATCTGAACACCAATCCTTGCTCACTCTGTACTCTTATTCAAGTTCTTCAACAATTCGGTTTATCCTTTGGAAACTTTCTGCACCGTCAGCGGATACATTGTCCAGCCCTTGCAAAGACTTACGCAGAGAGGCTTCCCTCGCTTTAAGGACGCGGTACATCGTTGCACGACTTAGTGGTTGAAAGCCATCATCTTCACAAAATACCAAATA